GATAGAGCACACCACAGGATCCTGGCATAGATAGAGCACACCACAGGATCCTGGCATAGATAGAGCACACCACAGGATCCTGGCATTGATAGCGCGCATCACAGGATCCTGGCATAGATAGAGCACACCACGGGATCCTGGCATAGATAGAGCACACCACAGGATCCTGGCATTGATAGCGCGCATCACAGGATCCTGGCACAGACAGAGTGCATCACATGGTCCCGTATGGTCCTGGCACAGATAGAGCACACACCACATGGTCCTGGTATAGATAGAGCACACCACAGGATCCTGGAACATGCACATGACAACACTGGATCCTGACGGATAGAACGTATCACAGGATCCTGGCACAGATAGGTCGCATCACATGACCCTGACATAGATAGAGCTCATCATAGAATCCTGGCACAGATACATCTCACCATCGCATCCTGATATAGATAGAGGGCATCACATAATCCTGGCACAGCTTGATCACAACACATGACCCTGGCACAGACAAATCCCCCTAGAATCCTGGCAGAGATAGATCACCCCACAGGATCACAGCACAGATATAGCGCATCACAGGATCCTGGTGCAGATAGAGCTCACCACAGAATTCTGGCACAGCGAGATCACATCACAGAATTCTGGCACAGCTAGATCACATCAAAGGATCCTGGCACGGATACAGTACATCATCATATCCTGGCACGGATAGATCACCTCACAGGATCCTGGCACAGATACAGTACATCACAGAATCATGCCACATACAGACCTCATCATAGGGCCCTGGACCTAGATTTTCGAAGCTCTCATAGTGTTAAGATAGCCATAAGTGCCATACATTAACATCAACTTACGACTATCATAGCCCTAAGAGAGCTTCGAAAATCTCGGCACTGGTATGCAAGGAGTGAAAGCTACTACACAAGACAAAAGATGACAACATCGACAAAGACACGCCTACATGTACATAATGAAGAACAGTGTAAAAGGGACACTCAATAATGCACATTAAGAAAACAGTCTTTTGTCAATGATATATGGGCCAATCAACTAACATCATCAAACCGCTTGTCTTCTACTATTTTAGGCACTAGAGCGGCATAGAGCGCGACACTATCACATGTAAACCTCGTATAACGGGAAAACTACCTGTGGAATGTGGAATAATCCGAATTTTACAGTTTTCACTGCAGACAAGTTATCAGTTTTGAAATGAACACACATGATAAATGATACAATTGTACACTTATACAGGTAAGTGTACAATTATCCAAGTAAGATACGAGCAACAGGTTATATAGTCACCAGTTACGAAAGTCGTACGCACGCAGTATACGTACTTATACTGCATCTCTAAAGACATTACATTTTACAATATTAAGGTATTAGATATATGCTAAACTGACATACGGGCTATGAAATTTTAATCTGTTACTACAACATACATTTCTCTCCTCCAAAAAACATTTTGCTGCTGATTTTGTGGAATAAATGCTGTTGGAGTTTTCAGACTGGTGTACGCTAAAAAAATACATATATTCTCGATGCATGTTTATGCTTTAATGTAAATGTAACTCTATACACTTACGATATGTCTCATTGGACGTGTAGATAATAAATCTGTTTAGGACATAATAAGTCCATACCCCACTGCCCTTTATCATATCTGGAGTGCGAAACGGTCAGTGTTGCAATTGTTTTAGGATGCAAGTTTGTAATATTCCAGCTTTTGTTATTTGCTTTTTAACGCTTCACACAGCAATATTCCAGCAATATCACAGCGAGGACCACAAGTAATTAGCTTCACACATTGCACCCGTGCGGGGAATCGAACCCGGGTCTTCGGCCTGATGAGGGAACGCTGCATCCACTAGACTAACCCACCTCCGCAGCGTGAATCAATACTGTGTGTACGGTATCCTTCGCAGAAATGTCCACACAAATATTTCTTTCCGTACATTGACTACAATCACGTATGAAGTGTCACTGAACGCCACCATTTCTTATGACATACCTATCCAATGTAACTGTCACGTAAGCAGTATGATGACTACCTACGCATTGTGACAAGGTATTACGTATTTTACGTACGCAAATGGGCGCCAATGGGCGATATGTTTGTTGCTATGACACCGCTTATGCGTATCGCTAATACGTTAATGACACACGTGTTAGTTACACATTTTATTTAGAATATTGACATATACAACATTATATATTATAATGCAAATGAGACAGGAGCACAGATGTATCTATAATGTGTATTGTAAATGAGCAAACCGACTCGTGAATTCTGAGTGTTCTGATAATTACGATACACATGAGTGTACTCTGCATTTCAGGAGAAAACTATCAGTCATACATCTAGTACAGGATATATACTGAACAAAAAAAGAAACGTCACATGTGTTGCTTTTGTGAAGTTTGTTTTGTTCAGTATATGATAAAGCGAAATGTTAGAATACAATCATTTTAGGAGTCAGACACATCAGTGCAGGACAAAGTAAACACATATGTTTGATGCTGTTTAAAGTCAAACAAAAGAGAAATGGTTATTTTAGTTATATTTTGTAATGGGCCTCATAACTGTATTTTAAGCTTCAAGTTTTGGTGACGGTCTATTAGCGTTCTGGAAACGTTTCCGACTATTTTGTCAAAATATCAGATGTCAAACGTAAACCTTCTTTTGCCCTTCAGTTCATTATTTTTTTTATCGGCCAGGTGTCATGTCACTAATGAAGGCTATATGTCATGTGTCATGTCACCAATGACGGCTATCGGCCAGGTGTCATGTCACTAATGAAGGCTATATGTCATGTCACCAATGTCTATGTCACTAATGAAGGCTATATGTCATGTGTCATGTCACCAATGACGGCTATCAGCCAGGTGTCATGTCACTAATGAAGGCTATATGTCATGTGTCATGTCACCAATGACGGCTATCGGCCAGGTGACATGTCACTAATGACGGCTATCGGCCAAGTGTCATGTCACTAATGACGGCTATCGGCCAGGTGACATGTCACTAATGACGGCTATCGGCCAAGTGTCATGTCACTAATGACGGCTATCGGCCAAGTGTCATGTCACCAATGACGGCTATCTGTCATGTGTCATGTCACTAATGACGGCTATAGGGCAAGTGTCATGCATGTTTAAGCATCAGTTTCACTATCGGCCAGGTGTCATGACACCAATGAGGGCTATCTGCCATGTGTCATGACACTAATGAGTTCTATCGGGCAAGTGTCATGTCACTAATGAGGGCTATCGGCAGGCGTCATGACACTAATGACGGCTATCGGCCAAGTGTCATGCATGTTTAAGCATTTTGGAATACTAAACTGAAGGGCAGAAGAACGTATACCGAATATATTTTACGTGGATTGAAATTTGGTAAAATCAATTAACCATCATTCTTTCCAGAAAAAAAAACGCAATCGTAAATCGTAAAAATGGTAATCTGTGGCTTATTAAACTTGTGTACAACTATAATCGTTCAATAAAGACAAGGGTAAAGATCTAAACGAAAGCTGAAGCCGCACGACCCCTATAATGTTTGAAGTATTGAAAATTTGTTTAAAAAAGCGATTTTGTTGTTGCTGTTTTCTAAACGTTTTACTCAAATTGTATTAAGCATAATAAAACCATGTACAAGTATTGTTTGAATGCTTCCTTAGCGCCATTTTGGATATGATGTCATTATCGTAAGAATCAATTAGAAAATAAAACCTGATGACTTCAACTGACAGGTGTGGTTCCGTTGTCTCCCAAGTATATAATATCTTGTGACGAAATACCGTATCTATCGCCAAATAGGAGACGCTATTTCACTCGAACAACAATTTATGCCGGAGACACATCTACGTTCAGTCAACCTCAGTGGCATTGCTAATATCAGAATATGGTCGTGACAACAAACAAGATATTGCGTAACAGACACAACATCTGTCTTTCCTTGTTACATTACCTACACTCGATGAGATAAACACATTTTGTGACAAGAAAGGCACATACATTCTATCAGTTCTTGAAATTATTATTATATGATATTAAGGTAAGATAAATTAAGCAAGATTCTTGATAACTTCTGACTAGTATTTAGCAACAGTACAACTTATTGAAAGAACAAGAGTTACAGCAAAACAAGACGAGGAACATCAGCCACATATGACTCACATATGACTCACATATGACTCATATACATTCTTCTAAGTAATTATACAGCACCAAATTAGTAAAAGGATTGTGTATATGGTGTGAGCAAGCGATACATGACATTAACATGACTACGAATATCCATTGGTCTCGAAGGTGCCATGGTCTAAGTCTCGATATATGTACACATTGTAAACAAGCTCATTGTTAGTTAGTGAGAATGTAACTTCGAGAAAATAGATAAATATGATTTTTTTCAAAGACAGCATAACGCCCTTACACGTTCCACATGTTTGCAATCACTGATAATATACGACCATCGATGATACGTGCATATGACTAAATATGTCATCAACGCGGGTCTCCACAATCACCTACAGCACCTGTACATATCCCAATGTGGTTATGTATTTGATACAACAGAGTATGCCCTCTCAGACACGACTACAGCACCTGGTAAATGTATCTAAACACCAGCATCAAATGTGCACAAATATGTGCTCAAATATCATGCTTTATGACAAGACAGATGAAACTGGACAGAAGAACCACGTAAATCTCGGTGGGACTGGTCATTTGGATTAGGGGTGGGTTGAACTGTATCAAATTTTACCGTATTGCCATATTATGCATAATTCATACTTGCCTCTTCCATCAACACCCACGACTCATTTTTCTCATATCCCATGTGACATATTGTCTTTGTCACCCCAGTCAACAGATGATAGTTTATAAAAAGGAGCAGTGATATTTCTACTTGCTCCTTCCCATATGGTGGTGACAAATTGTACAAATCGCTGTGTCATATTTTTCATGACACCCCACCCCACCCCCTACTCTAATCGACCTCCGACCCTGGAACCTAGAACCCAGAACCCAAAACCCTTATAATAAATGACCTGTCCCGGTATAGTTATACAAACAACGTAACATAGATGATTGTGATCATTTGTAAAAATACACGATCATAAAAGAACATCACATTTGAAACATTAATGAAAAGATCATATGAAACTGGTCATTCAAAACGTTGAAAGATATAATGAATAATGTGAAAAACGAGATACAGAGATATGTTTAGTAGGTCAAAGATGCTTCGGGCATTTTCTTCAATGCAATAGCTATGTATGTATGCATGTACACAAGCACAATAACCTTAAAATGCTTTTGTTCGGAGGATTATGTCGCCGATATGTCTACAGCAAAGTTACAACACATTGCTTCATCTCTTTAAGATGGACAACATGCTCATGAATGTAGCACATAGGATATTGACATTTAATGAGTTAAACCATCGACAGATCGTGATACTGATCTTTGAGTACCATCGCACAGAGAAGACATAGCCAGCTTATTACACTTTACCATATGTTTCCTCTGCTTCTATTCTTCAATACATTTTCAATAGAGCACGTTTGGACACACCAATTGCAATTGTCCTTTTCAAGCTCAGTACAACTTTTACAAGATATGTATGAAAGCACTTAATCAGTTGTCTTGTTTCTGAACACATACGTACATTGACAATTCCAGGTATGTTTATATAAGACAATTTCAAGATTTCATACAGGCACCTTCTGTGGATCCCTACCAGGCCATGCTTGATCCATTTATCATATTCTTCTTCAATATGAACCATTTGATGACCAGCGTTTAGATATCACACTTGTATTCCAGTGACAATGCAAATATGAAGACGTAGTTAGAATACATTGCATGCGAATACCACGATCACTTGCCCTTGGTGAAGATACCATATTTATCATCAAACGGGTCTTTTCAAAACGGCTCACTTACAACGGTATACCTACCTCGTTTTCAAACAGATTGGACCTTTCGCAATGACGTCAGCCTGATCAAACATGTGTCCTCATATGAATATAGATATGGCTAGGATGATACAGTGCCTTGCCACAGATAGAACATGTGTGACACACTACATGTGGTGGGTGTTTGTTCTGTCTGTGTCGGTCCAGGGCGCTGGAACAAGGAAAGAAGCGATCACAGGAGGTACACTTGTAGGACTTGTACCCAGCTTCAGATTTACTTCTCTTTGAAGATGCTGATCCGCTTCTTCTTGGACGCTTTTTGATTAGGGTAGAGTTGGTGGTAGATGCATCGGATTCGTCATGCACGTCATCTTGTGAGTTAATGTCAACGTTACCAACGTCTCGAACAGAAGAAACGTCAGCGGTTGAAGAAGACGTATCGCTGTTAGAGATGTTACTGGAATAGGCATCTACAGCAATGGTGGCACTGTTGTCGAATCTTTCCACGGCATTCTTGCTGTTGTTCATGACACTACGCCTAATGAGTGAGAGGTCGTCGACGTCACCTGTCGACACCTCGACTGATTCCTCATCATTGGACGTTTCTGAAGTAGGAGTTGGTCCATACACAAATGTCTCCTTTCTGTGGGAGCTTTCGACATGTTGCTCCAGGCTATTCTTGTCAATATACTTCGTGGCCTCTTCAGTCCGCGTCGCTTCAACAGCAGTGTATCGTTCTATCGGAGCCTGGGCATAAAGAGCGAGGTCCTTTGCTTGAGCAATATATATAGTTGTGTCCTTAGTAGGATCTACATACAGGTTGGTATCCTTTGATTGAGCAAGATACAGTGCAGCGTCCTTTGTTTGAGCAATATACAATATAGCGTCCTTTGGATGAGATGTGCCAATGTGGAGATCCCTCTCTATGATGGGTAAGTCATTATTTATATGAGACGAGACACTTGTTACGGGTTCTCCATGTATTTCAACTGACAATGGCTTATCGCCAAGCTTCACACTGTGCGCGGCCTCAGAGGAAGCAATATCTTCGGCTTTTTTATTGACGATATATCTAATATGAGGTAGTTTATTTCTTGACTGTGAATCGATGATATATGACAAATCACGCTGGAATTTTCTATCATTTCCACTTGAATAGAAATTTGCAATTGCAACGGGAATTTGACAGTCATTAATCTCTCCGATTTTGACACCTTCATCACAAGTATCCCCCCGAGAATAACATTCACCATCAGTGCCCTCTTGGTCCAGATCAGTTGTCCTGCATGGCGCTTCTCTGTCTGAAAACTTGTCCGGGGTTGATTCCCTATTGTCTACTACAGGAACAATCATCTTCCTCTCAACCGAGCGTGCTACATTCTCACCGGGCACCATTTTGATTGACGATCCAGTTGCATCGGATGTTATGATTTTCCGGCATAAATAACTCTGAAGTACAGGGTCTTGATTAATGTTCTTTTGCAACTCAGGTCCCTTCTGATCTGTAATTTGTGTCTCACTTGTGGGAAATGCTTCTTGATGTGGGTTATTTTGACCATACAGATGAAGATTCCTTGAGTCTATTGTCGCATTCTGCAACAAGACCATGTTGATTTCTGAGACGTTTCGGGGTTTTTGTCTCGGGTTTGAATTAATGTACACCTCCGGAGAATCTTGCGACTTGGTACTCCTATAAACGTTTTGTGTTTCTTGTGATATGAAAGTGTCATATCTCGTGTGTGTCTCCGATGTCTCCTCTGTGTTCTCATAACCGTCGCGTGTCTCCTCCGTTCTGAGCGTCTCATATGCCGTGGGCTTTTCATACGACCCTTCATTAGCTTTATCATATAAACGTGATTCCGTGTGCACATCTCTTCTCCCATTGATCGACGAACTATAAGCTACAGCCATCTTTGCAATATCAGAGGCTTCATAGTCACTGGAACTTTTTAGTAGACTGGCCATCTCATGTGGGTGAGGTTGCCTGACCTCCGCTGTCACACGCTCATTTGAGGAATGGCTACTTCTGGTTTTTCTGTCCGTTTCCATGGCATTACTCTACACTGCCAGCTTCTGGTTCCTTCCCAAGACTCACGCGATCATTTTTGTTTTCAAATTTATATTTGATTTCAAAAGTTTCCACGGCATCTACACATGGATATTTGTCTCTCAAAGGTTCCCTTGGGGAAACAAGAATAGCACCGTTCCGTCTGTCATATGAATGTCTTAGGCTGATGTTGATTGTGGGTTTGTCGGAGGTCTGTTTCCTCAAGGCCGTTTGGGTGCATCGTGTCATCACATGAGCCAAATGTAGGTGGCGTCAGTTTATGTCAGCGAGTTGCCTCCCATGCCTTGTCGCCAGGTGGTGGCACCGCCACAAGGAGCCATCCCATGTCAGAATGATGTTTTGTGTTTTACATTGTCCTGAAATAGAAAGAAAAGTTTTAAAACTTGGTTGACAGTTTTGCTAACAACTAGGACAATAAAAAGTGGGTTTTCAAGATTAATGTGTACAACGATTACAATAGTTAAGTTCATATATAGTCTCGTGGAATAGATAATAAATTAAATATTTAATGTGTTCATGGTCATTCCAGCATTCTGAATGTCTTAACTGGTCACGTAATATTGCATTCATTTTCCAATGAAAGAGAAAAAAATAACCATCAAAGCGGACTACTTTCACCAAAATTGATTTTCGGAAAATCCCATATACGGTCCAGAGAATCCCCTTTCTGTGTAGCCGTACCATTCGTGCACAGGACATTTTACCGATATTCATACACATTGAGGACAGTCCGATACCCGAAGCCCGGAAGGAACAACATACCGGCAGGACCTACGGGCTCACTAGCATGTTTTTTTCACGCTCGCCTGGGCTGCACAAATAACATATGTACGGATTGTTATTCCTAAGTAGCATTTAGTCATCCGTGTCTATCCGTTCTGATGAGAACTAATACTTGAATTTGGCAGTTACGGACCGTCCCATCTAAATAGCCGCCATCTTGCTGAACTTTGTTTTATGGTTCTCTCCGTTGATTGGCTACTGACCTTGTGGAGGTGTTAATTTATGTGCATAAATTAAGGAATCACCTGATACACCTCATACAACAGTATATATTCCCTCTCCTAGACGTTTATCAATATCGTAAATTCTGTCTGCTTTAATTTATATCAATATGATTTTATAAAACTATTCTTATAACAATATTTTCTCGTTGCCCAATTAATAATGATATGTTGTATTTTACGGTTCATTGATGTACAAACTGTATGGATCCGGGGGGCAGATTCTTACAAAAGTTTGCATATCGGTTTTTCAATTCACCGGTAAATAAATTACACAAACATTCCTTAATGACATTATGAAGTCTCAAAGTAACAAAATGAAGACTCAAAATAGTCCCTGAACCTAACTATCCCATTCTCCTACCCGGGGTACCATCCGTGATGAGCGGTGGGGTAGCCTAGTGGTTAAAACGTTCGCTTGTCACGCTGAAATTCCGGGTTCGATTCTCCACATGATTAAAATGTGTGAAGCCCATTTCAACTGCCCAGATCGATGCTCATGCTGCTGATCACTGGATTGTACTGGTACACATGAAAGCAGACTCGATTATTTCACCCTCAGACCGATACCGCCATATATTGGCTTCAGTAACCCATGAATGTCGTGCGGGTGGAGACTCGCGGTGGTTAACGTCATCACAAACCAGATCGATGCATGCTGCTGACACTGGATTGTCTGGTCCAGACTCGATTTTACCGCCGCCATATTGGAATATTTGTAGCGGCAAACCAGTCAACCCTTTGATTACATTGGTTGTACGGCTCCGCGTGCTGTCATCGAAGCCCTACGGAGAGCTGCAGTTATTTTGATGTATAAATTACATCATCATGCACCTCTTTCTGGTGACCCACGCCGTGATATTGCTGGAATATTGCTAAAAGCGGCGTAAAACCTTACTCACTCACTCATTCTGCCCCTCACTGTCGCAGGTATAGCAGCATACCTATATAATTTTGCAAATCAAGCATGAGCTCTGTACCGAAAGACTTACATTACGCCAGTATGTTCTGATATAAGGATAAGCACATTTGTTACAAATACGAAAAATCCTAAGCCTTTGAATGGCATTTACAGGTTACAAATATGGATATCAACATCTGTAATATAAGCCATTTTGAATGCCTTTCAGAAGTGATACGCGTACAGGTCGAAAATGTATGGACATCAACTTCTGTAACGTGCCCTTTGTCCATTACCTATCAGGGCTTGATTACCTATCAGGGCTATTTTCGCCAGTATTAATTCCTAGCTTCTAAGTGTTCATTGCCATTACCGTTCAGCACCAATTAACTAATGGATTCCCTTGGTAAGTGACCGCCATTGTTATCTGATCACTGTTGTCGGCTTCAGCTTCGTAGATGATATTGGTGACGAATTTCATTTTTTATTTATATGTCCAAAATTAGAATTAGAAAAAGAAAAATATATCCAGAAGTATTATTATATTAGACCAAACATGTATAAAATGAATATCCTATTTAACAATAAGAAACTAGGAACTTTAAGAAAACTCTCATTTTTTTGTAAAATAATTATGGCTTTATTTAAGAAATAATTTCAATAACTTAATATGTAACTACCTCGATGTACATTGCACCTATCATACCGTTTGTATATACTTTTTTATAGTGTATATAAATAGTATTTATGTATCTCTTATGCTGCAGTTTGCAGCCTGAGTGAAGTTCAGTTCAGTTCAGTTCAGTTCAGTTCATCAGTTCAGTAGTTTTCTTCACCTGATGAAGGAGTAAGAATATACTCCGAATGTTACAGAAGTTGGCAGCCATACATTTTCAGTCTCAAGGGAAAAGTCGGGTCACATGATATGCAAATTAACCTGTTGCGGCGATGTTATGGTAACTCAACGCTTAGCTGGCGTGTGCAGTATTCTGTGGCATATGTTTATCAAAATATGTAGATGTGTCAAAGATGAAACAGATGAAAAACATACAATGCAATATCATGATTTAACTGTATGTGAGATGTGCCTAAACGTCAACATGGCGGCTGTGACAGAGCTGGTACTACAGCCGCTTGGGACTCTGGGTAGAAGAGTGTTTTTACACAGCTGCTAAGGTTACACTCGTGTTTGTCGTTTATTCATTTTGGCATGAGAGATAGATACATCCATTGTAATCACTTCATGTTAGATTTTAAATAACGCTGTATAGATATTAATATACAACACTGGAATAGTAAAATAAATAACTCATCATTTCTTGTAAATTACAGTACATCTAAGTCACTTCTAGAACCTGTATATTTCCTGTGGGGCATTAAACAAATATTTAATGCGAATGTTAATCAAATTTCGATGTCAATCACATAACTTGAATATACAAACTTATATGTCAATCACATAACTTGAATTATACAAAAACAACGTTTATCAAAGCTAATGGTTCGATATAATGAATTGGTTTGTAACAAATGTAATTTAATTTTCCTTGAAGATGAACATCACTTGCTGCTGATGCATGTACATATATATGTCAATTTTATAACCGATGCAGATCCTAATGTATTCCAGCCTACTTCTACAAGCCACCTTCAATTGTCACATTTTGAGCCCTTATGAAGATACAAAATGTCACTGTCCTCAAAGGGACATGCATATTCCTGAAGCAAAACCTACGTTAACATAATTGTATTATCAATTATATTTCAACTCTACACACCATGACAATGTTGTATTACCTGTTGTATTCTTGGCCACATGGCCTTCAATTCTGAATAAACTGATCTGAGAACATAATTACGGAAACATCAGGCAGATCATTCACAGAATTCCTAGATCCTGTCAGTGGCTAATCCAGGGATTAGATAAATGCAGACGTGCAAAGTCTCTAAGGTATTAATTAATAGTTTAAATGATAATTTCTAAGATATATGAATAAATTGTCCCCTATTATACTGGCGTCCTAAGAAATGTATTGTCCGCTTATCTGAACTTGTCTCTTTGATACCTAAATCAAAGAATTTATGTAAATATGTTT